CATAGAACATAAATAGTAGGAAACTTAATTCTCTACAAAAAAGGTCTCTTAACATTTTGCCATAGCTCGCTTCGTTTCCGAGATATTTGCAGATTTATCTCAAGGGAAGGGGCCTGACGGACATATTTCGAGATATTTCTTCTTCTTGTTGTTCTTCTTCTGCACAGCTAAGCTGGAAGTGGCATTTGCAGCTCGCAATAGTGCAGAGTTATCTCAAAGAAAGGGGCCACGGTGTTTCTGTATCTCTATTATGTTGGTGCGGCTTCGGAACTTTTAAATATCTTGATATATCTCGAGAACTACGCATCTGATCAAAAAATATCATAGAACATAAATAGTAGGAAACTTAATTCTCTACAAAAAAGGTCTCTTAACATTTTGCCATAGCTCGCTTCGTTTCCGAGATATTTGCAGATTTATCTCAAGGGAAGGGGCCTGACGGACATATTTCGAGATATTTCTTCTTCTTGTTGTTCTTCTTCTGCACAGCTAAGCTGGAAGTGGCATTTGCAGCTCGCAATAGTGCAGAGTTATCTCAAAGAAAGGGGCCACGGTGTTTCTGTATCTCTATTATGTTGGTGCGGCTTCGGAACTTTTAAATATCTTGATATATCTCGAAAACTACGCATCTGATCAAAAAATATCATAGAACATGAATAGTAGGAAACATAATTCTCTACAAAAAAGGTCTCTTAACATTTTGCCATAGCTCGCTTCGTTTCCGAGATATTTGCAGATTTATCTCAAGGGAAGGGGCCTGACGGACATATTTCGAGATATTTCTTCTTCTTGTTGTTCTTCTTCTGCACAGCTAAGCTGGAAGTGGCATTTGCAGCTCGCAATAGTGCAGAGTTATCTCAAAGAAAGGGGCCACGGTGTTTCTGTATCTCTATTATGTTGGTGCGGCTTCGGAACTTTTAAATATCTCGATATATCTCGAAAACTACGCATCTGATCAAAAAATATCATAGAACATAAATAGTAGGAAACTTAATTCTCTACAAAAAAGGTCTCTTAACATTTTGCCATAGCTCGCTTCGTTTCCGAGATATTTGCAGATTTAGCTCAAGGGAAGGGGCCTGACGGACATATTCGAGATATTTCTTGTTCTTGTTGTGCTTCTTCTGCACAGCTAAGCTGGAAGTGGCATTTGCTGCTCGCAATAGTGCAGAGTTATCTCACAGAAAGGGGCCACGGTGTTTCTGTATCTCTATTATGTTGGTGCGGCTTCGGAACTTTTAAATATCTTGATATATCTCGAGAACTACGCATCTGATCAAAAAATATCATAGAACATAAAAAGTAGGAAACTTAATTCTCTACAAAAAAGGTCTCTAAACATTTTGCCATAGCTCGCTTCGTTTCCGAGATATTTGCAGATTTATCTCAAGGGAAGGGGCCTGACGGACATATTTCGAGATATTTCTTCTTCTTGTTGTTCTCCTTCCGCACAGCTAAGCTGGAAGTGGCATTTGCAGCTCGCTATAGTGCAGAGTTATCTCAAAGAAAGGGGCCACGGTGTTTCTGTATCTCTATGATGTTGGTGCGGCTTCGGAACTTTCAAATATCATGATATATCTCGAAAACTGCGCATCTGATCAAAAAATATCATAGAACATAAACAGTAGGAAACTTAATTTCCTACAAAAAAGGTCTCTCAACATTTTGCCAGAGCTCGCATCGTTTCCGAGATATTTGCAGATTTAACTCAAGGGAAGGGGCCTGACGGACATATTTCGACATATCGACTTCCCACATATCGATGTACATTTAATAACAATCTCATTAGTACTATATCTACATTCGATATAATGTAATATACTTATTCGTGCCCACAGATGAATGTGTTGCGTACGTGTTTTCTATTCCAACTGAACAGAGGAACCCGTACTTCGCACGCCGAATTAACCTTGTGCGAATTTTTGTTCTTCAAAGTGGACTGTATGGATGTTGATAGAATGATACTCTAGATAACTCAAAATTCGATTTATTCGTGTTCTATGCTTGCTTTCGTAGAATGATGTCTGGTGTTCGTTGTCCTGTCGTTATATTTATAGCGCTACGTTGTGGCGGTTTCAAGAATTTGTGCATACTGATTGGTTGTTGAAAAAGGGAGGGGGTGGTGTCGAAAACTGCTGGATTTGCCTATGCATATAAGGGAAATTTTGTCCCTTCCGATGGTCATGCGAAATTCCGGGCAATCCTTGAGTGCCCACGCAGTGGTATGAAGGGTCCTATTTGTGACCGTAGCGAGTAACAATCCCAAGGAACACCTCGACTTTTGACGCACATCTGAATAACATAAAAAATTATGACTCGGCTTCGAAACTGGGTATAGCGTGTTAATAAACTAATTTCTGATAAGTAACGGTTCCTTCGACAGGTATTGCTGCTACGGTAACTTATGCTACAATGAATTCGCTACGCGACAGAATGTACATATATTAACAATATCATTAGTACTATATCTACATTTGATATAACGTAATATACTGATTCATTCCCACAGATCAATGTACATTTAATAACAATATCATTATTACGATATGTACACGAGATATAATGTAATATACAGATTCATTCCCACAGATCAATGTACATTTAATAACAATATCATTAGTACTATATCTACATTAGATATGTATTGTACACTTAAAAACCATATCATTATTACCATATCTACATTAGATATAATGTAATATACTGATTCATTCCCACAGATCAATGTACATTTAATAACAATATCATTATTACTATATCTACATTAGATACGTAATATAGATTTACAAATAATGCCATTATTACCATATCTGCGTTGGATATAATGTAACACACTGATTTCTTCCCCCAGATCAATGTACATTTAATAACAATCTCATTAGTACTATATCTACATTCGATATAATGTAATATACTGATTCATTCCCACAGATCAATGTACATTTAATAACAATATCATTAGTACTTTACCTACATACGATATGTAATGTCATATACAGATTCATTCCCACAGATCAAGGTACATTTAATAACAATATCATGAGTACTGTATCTACATTCGATATAATGTAATATACTGATTCCTTCCCACAGATCAACGTACAATTAATAACAATATCATTAGTACTATATCTACAGTCGATAAAATGTAATATACTGATTCATTCCCACAGAGCAATGTTCATTTAAGAACAATATCATTGGTACTATATCTACATTCGATATGTAATGTACATTTAATAACAATATCATTATCACCATATCTACATTAGATATAATGTAATATACTGATTCCTTCCCACAGATGCAAATGCCACTTCCAGCTTAGCTGTGCAGGAAGAAGCACAACAAGAAGCAGAAATATCTCGAATATGTCCGTGAGGCCCCTTCCGTTGAGTAAATCTGCAAATAGCTCGGAAACGAGGCGAGCTATGGCAAAATGTTAAGAGACCGTTTTTGTAGGAAATTAAGTTTCCTACTATTTATGTTCTATGATATTTTTTGATCAGATGCGTAGTTTTCGAGGTATATCGAGATATTTAAAAGTTCCGAAGCCGCACCAACATAATAAAGATACAGCACTATATCTACATTCGATATAATGTAATATACTTATTCATTCCCACAGATCAATGTCCATTTAATAACAATATCATTATTACCATATCTACATTAGATATAATGTCATATACAGATTCATTCCCATAGATCAATGTACATTTAATAACAATATCATTAGTACTATATCTACATTCGGTATAAAGTAATATACTGATTCCATCCCACAGATCAATGTACATTTAATACCAATAGCATTGGTGCTATATCTACTTTCGATATAATGTAATATACTGATTCATTCTCACAGATCGATGTACATTTAATAACAATATCATTAGTACTATATCTACATTAGATATAATGTCATATAGTGATACATTCCAACAGATCAATGTACATACATTTAGTACCAATGTCATTATTACCACATCTACACTACATATAATGTAATATACTGATTACTACCCACAGATCAATGTACCTTTAGTAACAATATCATTGGCACTATATCTACATTTCATATAATGGAATATATTGATTCATTCCCACAGATCAATGTACATTTACTAACAATATCATTATCACTATATCTCCATTAGATATGTAATATACATTTAGAAACAATGCCATTATTACTATATCTGCGTTGGACATAATATAACATACTGATTCATTCCCACAGATCAATGTACATTTAATAACCATATCATTAGTACTATATCTACATTCGATATAATGCAATATACTGGTTCATTCTCACAGATCAATGTAGATTCAATAACAATATCATTAGTAATATATCTACATTCGATACAATGTAATATACTGGTTACTTCTCACAGATCAATGTACGTTTATTAACAATATCATTATTACTATATCTACGTTAGATATTATGTCATATAGTGATACATTCCAACAGATCAATGTACATACATTTAGTACCAATGTCATTATTACCACATCTACACTACATATAATGTAATATACTGATTACTACCCACAGATCAATGTACCTTTAGTAACAATATCATTGGCACTATATCTACATTTCATATATTGGAATATATTGATTCATTCCCACAGATCAATGTACATTTAATAACAATATCATTATCACTATATCTCCATTAGATATGTAATATACATTTAGAAACAATGCCATTATTACTATATCTGCGTTGGACATAATATAACATACTGATTCATTCCCACAGAACAATGTACATTTAATAACAATATCATTAGTACTATATCTACATTAGATAGGTAATGTATATTTAATATCAATATCATTATTACCATATCTACATTAGATATAAAGTAATATACTGATTACTACCCACAGATCAATGTACCTTTAATAACAATATCATTAGCACTATATTTACATTCGACATAATGTAATATACTGATTCATTCCCACAGATCAATGTAACCCCTTAGGTATCGATGGACCGGGTCACCGCACTCTACATCGCACCGTTATGGTTTATACTTGTTCTTTTATGCTGCTCCCAGCAAAAGGAGAATGCAACACCTGCATACTACCAAAAGATGAGTTTTCGGTTACCGTTGTTTATTATTCAATATCACCGTTTGCTCTATTTAATTTATATTATTCTTCCTTTGTATGTTATACAGGTAACTCTTTCTATTCATTACGCTTTGCCAGCCTCTACATTATTCAATTTCTTTCAGACTGCCACCACTCCTCATCACCTCCGTTTATTCTTCAATGGGAAGATAATGGGGTATACACTATGACGTCAATGTGCTTTACTGTCTTACGTGTGTTACCTCCAGTATCTGTGGTTATACCAAAATAATCGACGTACACGTAAGTACCATACCTTTGTCGTATCCGTTAGCTAAGAACCAGCAATTAAATAAATAATATCCAGTGCTTGTATAACTAAAATAAGCTATAAATAATGAATAAATAAATAAAGAAATAAAATAACATAAAATAAAATAAAATAAGATAATCCAATAAGTAAATGACTAGAATCCAGTATGTAATTAAGTTAAGTAAATACGTAAATAAATAAGATATAATAAAATAGAGTCAATAGGTAAAAACATAAAATCCGTCAAGTAAGTAGATAAAACCAAGATAATAAATAATAAATAAATCAGTATAACAAATTGATGGTAATTACGTAACCATTTAGATAAAATTATTGTCAATATATATAATAAGTAAAGTTGGATGAATAAGCTCTATTCATCCCCACAGATACTGTATCCACTGCCTTGTAGTTTAATTTAATTACCAATTTCTTTTAAGGCTTTAAGAATTCACATGCATTAGGTTCAGTATACTAATTACCTTAATTATTTTAGCACCACGTATACACCATACCATTTTTCAGGTGAGGACTTAATCTATCGCGGCCACCATCAGCGTTGCTGCTATGGGATATGAATCATCTATTATATTTAATTAACCAAGTCATCCGGAGTTTCCAGTTGGGAACTCCTGCTACCGTTTACGAACCGTTACCCATTTCGAGGCCGAACTAGCATATTGCGGCTCTTAACTCTTTATCTTTATCTGAATGGTACGATGATTTTCTTTCCTTTTGTTACTATTATTCTTATCTTTATTGTTTTCTCCTTTAGTATTATCTTCCTGTTCCTGAATTTGCATTTTGTGTTTGTCTTCCCCATTCTTTCCTAATTTTTTTCCGGTGTGTTTTCTCCCATTTCTCTTTTTGCGATATACCTACAGCGCAGAATTTCCTAATTGATGCGTTGGTTTTATCCCTTTTCAGTAAGTGTCCGATGTTTTGAATTTCCCATTTTTCTGGATGTACTTCTTTTTCCAGCGCCATCCTCTTCATTTTCCATCTTGGACACGTGAAGAGAGTATGTTCTGCGTCATCGAACAAATCCTCACAGAACCAACACTCTGGTGTCCTTTCCTTACCAATCTTCGCTAGGAAAGCCCCAAAGCATCCATGGCCAGTCAGTGCTTGTACTAGTTGATGATCTAAGAGAGGTATTCCCCCACTATTCCATTCACCAATGTCACTAACTATCTTGTTAGTTCATCTGCCTTTATCCATGTTAGTCCATTCCTCTTGCCATTCTCTTTTTGTTGTTTTAGTCTCTTCTTCCACAATCTCTTTATTAATCCGGTTATTATCTTTTCCGTTGTTTTGTTCAAGCTTCCCCTTTTCTTGTGCCTCCCTTATTTTAACGTATATACGTGCAATTTCCTTTGCTGTATAATCCCAAGGCACGTTCCCGGTTATTATACATAAGACTTCCGTAGACACTGTTCTGTAGGCCTTGCAAATTCTGTTTAGCGGTAGCCTCTGCGCGTCCCTTAGTTTTTTCGTGTTCAGTTTATATGTCAGTGCCCTGGCCTAAATTGCCGCACCATACATCACCACTCATTTCACAACATTATAATACAGTATCCTGGCTTTTGGACCTGCTCCTCTTGTGTTTTTCATCAGGAGGCTTAGATGCATCGCGTATTTACTCGATTTTTCAGTCGCGTTCTCAATATGCTGCTTAAATACTTGGTTGCATTCAAAAGTAACCCCAAGGTATTTAGCCGCCTTGCACACCGGTATTTGATTTCCCTCGATTTCCACCGGGATACCCTCAGGATTTTTTCTTCCCGTCAGCAATATGGTTTCCGATTTTTGCGGCGCCAGGTCAAGGCCTTCCCCCTTGTACCAGTCTACCATATCTCTTATTGTGGCATTGGCCGTGTATTTCATTCTTTCCAGATCCTTATCAATTATTACAATACCTATATCGTCAGCAAATGCCACCAAGTAGACATTTCTTCTAAGACGTATTTTCGGCAAGCCATCGTATACGAGGTTCCACATAAATGGTCCAATTATCGACCCCTATGGAACCCCTCCAAATACCTCTATTTTTTCATGTCCATCATCTGTGTTTATGACTAGCCACCGGTCACTCAAATAAGACTCAGTCATTTTTATTATTTTCCTGGGAAATCTTTTCCTCTTCATCTCACGGATGACGCTTTTCCACCTCAGGGAGTTGAATGCATTTTTGACGTCCAGTAGGATTAGAAGGCAATGTCTGCGCTCTTTTTTTGCCTTGTCCCAATATCCCATCACCTTCTCCATGGCTTGAACGGTTCCTAAACCCTTCCTGAACCCATATTGGTGCGGCGACAAATCATCCCTCCTGATTGCCTCATGTAATCTATTTTTAACAATATGCTCCAATATTTTCGCGATATTGGAGGCAATGCATAGTGGTCTGTAGTCAGACGGCTTCACTACGTTAATCCCTGTGCCTTCCTTAATTGTTGACTTACCTTTTGGTAGAAGCACTAGTCTGGTGGTTTTCCATTCTACAGGCCAGTGACCCAGATCCATGCATTTGTTTAGTAATCTAGTCCAGAAAGAGGTCGCACCAAGTCCTACAGCCCTTGCAGCCGCAGCAGGGATACCGTCAGGGCCTGGTGCTTTTTTAACCGCTATTTTTCTACATCCTAGAATTACTTCCATATCCGTTATTTTATCCTCATTTTCCTCTACGGTTTCTATGCGCTCACCAGTGTTCATTTCCAACTCATTCTCATTTCCAGCTATGTCTACGTTATTTGTCGGTGGCTTCATACAAAAGAGACCATCTACCACTATTTTAATCTGTTCTGAGTTTAATTTAATTGGTGGAGTACTCCCGTTGATTTGCTTAATCACTGTTTTGTACGGTCTACCCCATACATCCCTATCTACTGTGTCAATCAATTTCTCCCACGCCCCTTTTTTGGCCGTCCTAATTTCCCTATTAAGCTCCTTCTTTGCCCTCTTAAGCTCGTCTTAACGTAACGTTATGACCCCACTATTCTTTTTCCTATTTTCCCGGGTCACCTTCCTACGCGCACTGTTAGCTCTCTTCCTGAGGTTTAAGATTTCGACAGACCACCAATGCACCGGGGTTTTGTTAAACATTCTACCTTCCTTCTTCTTATACTTATTACTAATACTCTGGATCTCCCTCATCACAGCATCAATATCCTCTCTATTTTCCCCAATACTGTAACTCACTATCTCCGAATTTCTTTAAAAACATTTCCACAAATTTGTCTTTATCTACCTTTCTAACATTATCGTTCAAGACTAATTTATTGCTTTTTTCAGGTTCATCGATTACTATAGTGTGCAGCAGGTATTGATGGTCCGATCCAGTAAATTCGGTAAGGACATTACTTGCTACTACTTTATGGCTCAGCCTTGTATCTGTTATTAAAAGATCTATTTTTGTACCTGCTCCTCTGGTGCAGGTGTTTCCCCCGTCAGTCATTATGTATATCAGATCTAGATTTGCCATAAATTCTAATAATTTTCTACCTCTAGGGTTCCACATCCTGCCACCCCAGAGTAGGGACTTGCTGTTGAAGTCTCCGGCCAAGATGACTCCAGCCCATTTTTTAGCTTTAATAATATCAGCGATTTCGTCTAATCTACCATCGACTGTATTATCATCAATATTCGGCGATATATAGCTACTAATTATGAGGTAGTTGTTGTAACTGATTGCAACCATTCCTATCCCCTGTTTAACTATATTAATGTCTTTAACTCTGGCTATACCCTTGCTCGTGATCCATATAGCAGCATCCCCTTTACAATCCTTAAACCAATAATTTTTGCTTTTGCTTTTGTTTTGTTCTGCAATCATGATCACGTCCGGAGATACTTTCTCGACTGTTCCTTTTAGCAGGTCCTGAGCCAGCCTGCATTTATTCAAGTTAATTTGTAATATTTTAATTTTGAATTTTATTTGCATTTCTTTCCAATTGCTATCGCCTCCTTGTACTGTGGGCATTTCAGCGAGCCCGCTATATGGTTCAGCTCTACTCCACTACGGCCTTTTTCTTCGCAAGGTCTGCACCTCGCTTTTTCAGCTCTGTATTCTGTCATTACGTGCCCTTTCTCGCCACACCTTCTGCATATCCTTATGCCTTCTGCGAGTGCACACCTAACCGCCACATGTCCCATATTGTGACATTTGTAACATCTTGTGACATTTGGTAGCTGTCTCACTCTACAGTATACCCATCCTATTTTGATCTTATTTTCTTTAATATGATTCGTAATGTCCCCTGGTCCTTTCCACTATCGCTACTTGGGTGCCCATGTAAGCCGTCCTAATGCTTTTCCCCCTGAAAGTTCCTTTTGCGAGGCCCGTTTCCCTTGCTATGCTCTCTATTACTTCGTCGAGCTCAGCTCCCAGGTCAATGTCCAATATTTCCAGTGTTGTCTTAGGGATCAATCTCCTAATCACCGTCTCAGCTCCCATGCTTTTTATAACTTTATCGTGGAATTCGGAGCTATCTATTTTCTCCTCAAATTCAACCAGAATGTCACCGGCCCTGATTTGCCGTATTCTTTTGATTCCTTTGACTTCCTTCCCCATTTTATTCCTAAGATCTTTGGTCACCTCGGCGTACGAGCGCTCGTTGTCCACCTTGATAGTCACTGCTTCGTTTCTTTTTGTTCCTATTGTCTTCCTTTGCTTATCCCTCAGCTTCTTATTGTCAATGCCATCTTTATTCATTTTCATTCCCGAATCCTCCTTATTCCCCATTTTCTTCCTCCTTGTCTTTACTACCTCCCAATCGGAGTCCGACGAGACTCCTTCATTACCTTTTAGTATTTGCACTTTCCTAATTATTGGTAGTGCTCTATTCTCCCTGTTTACTATTCTGGTCTTTTTGATCTGCGTTTCCATCTCTGGTGGTGTCGTTTTCTTCCTCTTGTTTGTTCTTCTAGTAATTTCCCTATCGCTTTCCATTATATCATTATTGCTTCTCCACACATTATCATATTCCATTGTTTTCATTAGTTTTCCTTGTTCGTGTTCCTCTCTATTTTTGCACTGTTTCTTTTCATCCCTGTACACTCTAGTAGCTGCTTCCAGCAATTCTTTTGCTCTGTCTAGCTCCTGGCCCATTTCTATACTCGCCTTTTCTGCCATCGGGTTAGCATTGTTATCCCTCTGCAGATAGATACTAACCATATCATTTGATGCCTTAAGCATCCTCAGAATTTGGTGAATTGCCATCAGAGTTATGTCAAGTCCTCCAATTTCATTCTTTTCGTCGGAGGGCACAGCTTCCTCTGGTTGGACTTCCGTATGAGTTACTTTGATCGGCGTTTCCTCCGTGTTCTCGTTTCCACCTGTAAATACCATATCATCTTCATCCCCCGTTAAGTCTGGATCGGCACTCATGCTTTCCTGTCCAATTTTGGTCGGGCTTCTTGAGAGTGTACGTGATGGTCTAAACACCGCCCTCAGATCATGGTGAACTCTATCACTGAGCTTAACCTTGGTTTCCTCCTTTGCATTAGCTTTGTCACTACTGTCTCCTATGATGATCCTATTTATTTCAAACACATTGCTTTCTTCTGTTGCTTTATTCATTCCTTTTTTCTACCTATGCTCATCGTCCTACATTCAGCTCTAGTCATTATTTTTGTCGTTGTTTTAGTTGTTTTGTTTGTTTTGTATATCTTATCCATGTATATCCCACGAGTAGGGCCGGAATTAATTGTCGACCCACGCAGAGCCGCCTTATGTGGGTAAGCCTGTATTACTCGGGGGGGACGGCAGGTACCCCCGAGTGACCGTTCGTGACTACACAATTTAAGTCCCTGTAGCCATGAGCCTCTCGGCACGGTACTTCACACCTTTAGCTAGGACTATAGTTAGAGCCCGGTCCGACTCTTTCCTTACTTACTTTTCTTTTCACCCGTTAACAGTTAGTTTGTACCTATACTCTGTCATGTATTTCAGTCCAATCCAAAAGGGTAGTTTGTCATTTCTTTTTAATAGTCGCTTTATTCTTTTGTACCTTTACGCATTTCTTGTATATTCCCTTTCCTTATTTGTATGTTCTAGGACCGGGTTACTCCTATTGTTACTATGCCCATTCATAATTCGCGGTTATGTCATGCGAATTGACGCAGTTCGGACGTGTGTCACTGCGCGACTAATACGCACTACTCTGACCCAGGCACGCACTACTTCCGATTTCATTCATAGTTTCATTGAATACGCTCTTACGAATGGCAATAATTTTTACGCCGCGATTTACTTCATATTAGACTTAGTTGTGTACATAGAATTAAAGGAGTATCCAGTACTGTGTCTAGATGTGTTAAAGTGATCATGTGCACTTTGTTCTTCAGTCCTCGCATTTGTATCAGTGCTAGTTGACCGAGTTTACAATATGTTTAGCCAGTGGTTTGGTTGTTTAGTTATCTAGTTTGTTCATATTAATCCCTGCCCTGCACTTGTGTATCCCTTCCAGTATAGATTCCCATTTTCCTTTATACTTACCTTGTCTTGCCTACCTTCTTTCTGTACGCTAGTTACATGTGCAGGTGTACGCTTTATGAGTATTATTTTATATAAGACTTCTTTTCCTCCTTGTATTACCCTATCTCAGCTGTACAATTCTTGTTTTGCCCCCAGTCACACCGACTAACAGGTTTACCTACTGGATTCTCAATATTTCTACTATTACCCTCCTCTTTATTCTTATTAAAGTTCAGACTTATCGTATTATACTGTCATAGTATGCATCCTATAACTTTCCCCATTTTCTTTAATTATTAGAGCATTATGTTGGAACCTTCAGTATCTTTTGTTACGGACCATGCCTTTCATCTATTCCCATAGCGCTCAATAACGCTACTTTTCCTATTACACGGTATCCCTGCGGCTTTAATTACTTTGTGTATACAATTATAGTCTATTATATTTATCTTGATTAGTTCCCCGGTCTATAGTCTACTTTATACATCCATATTGCTGTTCAAAACTAATATACTGACCTTTATTATTTACTAGTTTATTCTATGACTTATGCCCAAGTCGCGTGATATTTCCTCTCTATACTGTCTGAAGTTTTTCTTAACGTACTTGATTTAATTTATTTATTTAGGCAACTTACTGTTCTATCTATCATCCTATTCTCTCTATAATTCATAATTACTTACTTTCCATGCTTTGCTTGTTTTAATATTTCTTACCCTTATTCAGAAGTTTATAACCCACTTCTTCTTTTACCAACCATACCTACAGTAACCACCCTTACTTTTGCCTTAGTTTCAGGAAACTTTCCCTAGTTTCGTGTCAATTAGTTCTTACGCCTTTCCTTATCTCAGGTCCAAACCGCATTTAAATACTCTCCTCGTATACCGTATTACCGGTTCATCAAAGTTGCTACCTTTTATATTAGTACAGTTTCAGGCTGTTTTGCATTATCTGTTGGTCTACTCAAGCCTTGTTTTAGCTTATCATTCCGTTCACTACATTTACGGTAAATCTTTACTCCGTTTCGCTTAACCTGTTTGAATATTCTGCTCATTACCCTATTTCTTCGGTCTGTTAGGTTATTATATAGTATTATCCAGCTCTCTTCATTAAATTGGTTGTCATCACTTAACGTAAAGCCTTCCTATCTGTCCTAGCCAACCTTTTGGGTTCAAAATATGCGTTGATAGAAATTATAAACTGTGCTACATTTAACTTTCATTTCTTGTCTTTTTGTACACTTAACATGTTTTACCTATTAATTTGACCCATTTATGTTACCTATTATTCCTAATAAGGCTTATTCATTCGCTATACCTGTTAATTTACTTTAATTTAACCCTTATTCATGTTTCAGTCAGCTGATATTATGACGCAGACCTCATATTACCATTTAATACCTTCCTACATTGAAAACTCATTAATTATCGGTTTGATTTTCCGCTGATGTAACTCAGTGCACCATAAGCTGTGTTTTAATGCTCTTTTTCCCCAATTTAAGTTAGATTTATGCACAAAGGTTTTAAACAACAGCACTTGTCATCAGTCAGTTTCCATGCACATGTTGTGTATCAGAATTATTACCTTAGGCAGGTTTTCTCCCTTATTCATCCAATTTTATGTTGACATATTATATGGTTGTGAGGTTACTCTGAACCGTGTTTTAAGTAGTCACTTTCATTTATGTATTGACTTAATATATAATGAATTATTATGTACATTGAAGCTGTAGGTGTCATTCTACCTATTCCGACCCTTTTCCCACCTGCTTTCAACTTCCATCGATATCTATCTTGTTTACATACCCGGAGTGCTTTATCGGCATGTTCGCACGCATAGATGGACGGGACCGGACTATTGGTACTATATCTACATTCGATATAATGTAATATACTGATTCATGCCCACAGATCAATGTACATTTAATAACAATATCATTATTACCATATCTACATTAGATGTAATGTAATATACTGATTCATTCCCACAGATCAATGTACATTTAATAACAATATCATTGGTATTATATCTACATTCTATACAATGTCATGTACACACTCATTCCCACAGATCAATGTACATTTAATAACAATATCATTAGTACTATATCTACATTCGATATAATGTAATATACTTATTCGTTCCCACAGATCAATGTACATTTGATAACAATATCATTAGTACTATA